CCTTTTTCCGCTCTTTACGATTTTTTATTGCCCTTTACCTAGGCTGCCCTTTTACCTTTACCTAGGCTGCCCTTTTACCATTTATAGTATCGATTAAATCACCTAACCATATATCATATAGAAAATTTATACGTAAATGTTGAGGATATACGGAAATTCATTAATAAATAATATTCGTTAGTCGTCTCGTTTTCGGGGGATCCTATCGCTCCAACGAAACTAACACTATAATTACAATTATAGAAGTTTTGACGGATACTGATATTATATCATTATATCTATATAGTCATATATGTTTTAATTTATTGATATATTTATCTGTTCATTCCCATCTTTTGTTCGAAGTTTTCTAAATCTATATTAGCTGGGTATTTCATAGCATCAATCCGAAGATGTCATTATTTTCGATCAAAAGTTTCATGAAGAAGATTGCATAAATAAATTATATCTATGATATTCTAGTCTCTATTCTTGGATTGTCGTTATTGCTAGTATTATTGCTATTATTGTTGTTGCTCCTGCTACTGCTACTGCTTCGTCATCTAGGAACATGATAATACGATTTAGATTCTTATCTTTAGATTCGGCTTGTGATTAAGAACCCAATTTGAACAGCGAAATCTTTTCGCCATCTTCTGGAAGCAAAAGGTCGCGACCGCCTCTTTGAACCGTTTTGTGTGGAGTAGAGGTTGCAGCTGCCGTTGAAGAAGCAATGCTTCTTCAATTTCTTCGACACACTCGGGAGCAAGGAAAGCTGTGAATGAAGATTCCAGCCGTAAAAATAAGTTGCTACAGGTCGGTTGCTCGGTTTTGTGTACCTTGGTTGCCCACTTCACAGGCCCAAGAAGACAGTATCCAGATTGACGCAGCTTTAGGCTTACACACTCCGCTACTAAGCCACCATTAACTTGTACAAGAATCTGACCACCCTGAGCCGAACCCCAAAGATAATAATGATGTAGTATAATACACCGCCCCAAAACCCTATTCTATTGATTAAGGCCCCTATATTGGAACCCTTATCAAGCTTCGAGTCGCCCCATGAAGTCCAAAGTGACCTGATGCAGCTTTGCTCCTTTGACCAGCACACGCTCCAGGAGCGCACGCTGCGCAGATAGCGTGGATTTCTGCGAGTGAACGATGGTTACGGCCAAGACTGCGCCGCTTCGGCTTAACAAACCTGAGTTCTTGCTAAGGAATATTTCAGTTGCCACAATAGGGATCTATCGTAAATCATGGGGTTTCCTTTTTATGATAACTTGAATGAAAATCCTTAAAAAACCCAGAAACTGTGCCCAGGATCCAGAACCAACAGTTCCACATCATGAATACCATCCGTCAGAGATGCAGTGATGTACTCGTTGCACGCTGCCAGGCGGTCAGATCTTGCAGCAACGTCGGGCCGTTTGCGTAAGCATGTCTGCACCTCCCGCTGGGTGCTCTCGAAATAATTCAAAGGCCACATGTAGTCGAGGTAGACACATCCGAACTCAACTTTCGCGTGGGCGGCCACGGCCAAAGCCGTGAAGCTGGTCGAGTACGTACTCAAGCTCTTGGCCTCCAGTGCCTTAACCTTGGCTGATGACCCAGCCCCTAGCTTTCAGCTAACAAACTGTGTGTATATATATATATATACATATACATATACACATGTTTTTAACCATGTATACATTTACATATATATATATGAGCTGTATGTACAAATACACATACACATATACATATACATATACATGTACATATACATATACATATGCATATACATATACATATACATATGCATATACATATACATATACATATACATATACTTATACATATACATACACATACACATACACATACACATACACATACACATACACATACACACACATACACATACACATACACATACCCATACGCATACGCATACACATACACATACACATACACATACACATACACATACACATACACACACATACGCATACGCATACGCATACACATACACATACACATACACATACAGATAGACATAGACATATGCATATGCATATGCATATGCATATACATATACATAGATATAGACATAGACATAGACATAGACATATACATATACATATACATATACATATACATATACATATATATTATATATGGTCACCCCCCCCCCCCCCCCCCCCGTCCCCCCAAGATCTACACCCGCCCTGCCACACGATTTCACAGGTTGCTTCTCTACATTGGCCCACTAATCACGTCCCCCAAATATTAAACAGACCCCTAATTATAAAAACACTTTTCCCCCGATCCACCCGGAAGTAGCACCGCCCTTTAAACCCTAATTTGAATTAGGGGGAAGGTTTAGGGTCTATAGATTGAGGGTTTGGGGTGGTGGCTTTGGCTGAGTTCTCTGTCTTTTTTCGGCTGCTGCGAGTCTGGCTGTCCGAGCCTATCTCGCTGTTATAATTACAGCCAGACAGCAAAAGAAGATCGGCTGCCAGTCTGGTGCTGTCTGTCTGCCTAACCAGGGCTCAGGGTTTAGGTTTAAGGGTGCAGGGTTTTAGGGCTTTAAGTTGTAGCGACCTTGACTGGCTGTCTGGCTCTAAAAGCCTGAAAAGGATCGTCGGCTGCCTGTTTGTCTCAGCGGATCTTTAGGGTTTAGGGTTTTAGGGGTTTAAGGCCTTAATTAAGGCAGCAAAAGTGATCCTTGCCTGGCTGTCTGTCTAGCTGCCACAGATCAGGGCCACCCAGCTAAAGGGCGGCCCTGCCTGTCTGCAGCGTGCCCGAAACGCCCCCCAGCGGACCTGGCATCTGCCTAGCAGGCTGTCTGCCTGGCTCACGTGGCGTGAGACATCGCCGTCGAAGGACATCCACGTATCCTGCCAAGTCAGACTAGAGGCAAGCTCAACAGGGTCTTCTTTCCCCGCTGATTATCCCCAGCTCGTTCCCTCTGGCTGTGGTTTCGCTAGATAATTAGCAGGTAGGGAAACAGTGGGCATCTCGTTAATCCATTCCCCGTCCGCCTGACGCTGCTCTGCACACACAATGGCTTTGCCAATGGCGTGGAGCTCTTCCTGGCCAGGGGCTCAAATTCGGCTGGGCTTTGGTGGTTTGATCTGTTCTGCCTGCACGTCTGTCAGGATGGCTGTCTGGCTGGCAAGCTGGTCCGCCAGTGCCTGGCTGATGTTTGTCTGTCTTGCAAAAGATTGGAAGTTTCTGGCTGTGTGCCTGAAGCGCCGCTGTCTGGTTGTTCATGGCTGTCAGCAGCTCGTTTGCCTAAGCTTTCAATTAATTACGTCGATTTGGCACAATCCAGCCAGCTTTCGATTTGGCACATCCAGTACTAATTAATTAGTTGAGCTTGTAATTACTACGATGTGGCACAATCCAGCCAGCATGCGAAACGAGGCACATCCAGTACTAAGCTTGTACTACGATTTGGCACAATCCAGCCAGCATGCGAAACGAGGCACTTCCAGTACTAAGCTTGTACTACGATTTGGCACAATCCAGCCAGCATGCGAAACGAGGCACATCCAGTACTAAGCTTGTACTACGATTTGGCACAATCCAGCCAGCATGCGAAACGAGACACATCCAGTACTAAGCTTGTACTACGATTTGGCACAATCCAGCAGCATGCGAAGCGAAAGTACCAGCATGCATGCGAAACGAGGCACTTCCAGTACTAAGCTTGTACTACGATTTGGCACAATCCAGCCAGCATGCGAAACGAGGCACTTCCAGTACTGAGGTTGTACTACGATTTGGCACAATTCAGCCAGCATGCGAAACGAGGCACTTCCAGTACTGAGCTTGCTCTACGATTTGGCACAATCCAGCCAGCATGCGAAACGAGGCACATCCAGTACTAAGCTTGTACTACGATTTGGCACAATCCAGCCAGCATGCGAAACGAGGCACTTCCAGTACTGAGCTTGTACTACGATTTGGCACAATCCAGCCAGCATGCGAAACGAGGCACTTCCAGTACTGAGCTTGTACTACGATTTGGCACAATCCAGCCAGCATGCGAAACGAGGCACTTCCAGTACTAAGCTTGTACTACGATTTGGCACAATCCAGCCAGCATGCGAAACGAGGCACATCCAGTACCCAAGCTTGTACTACGATTTGGCACAATCCAGCCAGCATGCGAAACGAGGCACTTCCAGTACTAAGCTTGTACTACGATTTGGCACAATCCAGCCAGCATGCGAAACGAGGCACTTCCAGTACTAAGCTTGTACTACGACTTGGCACAATCCAGCCAGCATGCGAAACGAGGCACATCCAGTACTAAGCTTGTACTACGATTTGGCACAATCCAGCCAGCATGCGAAACGAGGCACTTCCAGTACTAAGCTTGTACTACGATTTGGCACAATCCAGCCAGCATGCGAAACGAGGCACTTCCAGTACTGAGCTTGTACTACGATTTGGCACAATCCAGCCAGCATGCGAAACGAGGCACATCCAGTACTAAGCTTGCTTTACGATTTCAGCCAGCATGCGAAACAAGGCACATCCAGTACTAAGCTTGCTCTACGATTTGGCACAATCTTGGCACAATCGATTAGAGGCAGAGGCCACTCCATCTCAGCTTTTTCCTCACTCTTCAGCTGCCGCGTAAGCACGACTTGAGCCAGCGCTCTAACCACTAAGCCGAACCCACCCTAGCCACAGGGCGAACCCAATGACCCGATGTGTGGCTGCCACATGGCATCTGAGCCCCACCCCACCTTCCAACCTCCGAAGAAACCCTGAACTCCCTGAAGCCTTGCACACTCACTGCCTGGCTGCCT